GGACACTGCAGAAGATGCTTCAGATGTATCTCATAAAAAGGGAAACCAGGCTGTTCAGCAAGACTTGCCAATGCCAATTTGTTATCAGTAAATGTTTGAGATAACTAATGCCTATTTTATATACTTCACGTATATAAGGCCAGGATTCTTGGGAGATGACATGGACAAACTTGGACCCTCTGAGTGTTTGGAACTTCAACTCCCACAATTTCCAATAGGCGTAGGTAGGAATTATGCCCTAGTCTCTGTGCCCTAGTCTCTAGAGCAGGCATGGGCAAACTTGGGCCCTCCAGGTGTTTTAGACTTCAACTCCCACAATTCCTTTTTTAATTAATAATGTTATTGCATTTCCTTTCCATTTCATTACAAAATACAATCTCTATTCATATATTTATTTCTTCTCATTTCCCCTTTTGTGCTCCCAATTGTGCTCCCCATCTCCGGAGTCCTTCTTTTCTTTGTGATCCCACCAAAACTTCACTTCCTCTGGTGAGGGTTGCTTCCTATCTTCTTTTCTCAATGTTTATTCAATATTTTTTCCATATGCTTTCAAAATCATTGTTTTTCCTTGGGCCTTTTTTACTTTTAAATTACATGTTAATTTATCATATATTGCTAATTTTCATATTTCCTTATACCATTCTTCTATCTTAATTTCTATCCCTCCTTTCCAACTTTTCGCTAATAGCCTTATTGCCATTAACAACATTGTTATCAAATTCTTTCCAATATCTGTATTGTATAAAGATAACAATATAGTCGCCAAATTTCTATTAATTTTTTTCTTCATAATGCTTTCTATCTCTATTATAACTTTCCCCCAGAATCTCTGTACAGATTTACATTGTCACCACATGTAAACCCTCCAACATTTTTTCGAACAGCTCTTAATATGGAGCTTAGTTCTGTGGAACAGGTATAGGAAAACTTGGGCCCTCCGGATGTTTTGTACTTCACTCCCACAATTCCTAACAGCCGTTGGCTGGATGTGGGACAACAAACTTAAGCTTAATACAGACAAGACAGAGGTCCTCTTGGTGAGTCATAAGGATGATCAGGGTATAGGGTCATCCACAGAAGGGAAGGATATTAGAGGCAAAGATGAAGTACTCTGGCCACATGAGAAGACAGGAAAGCTTGGAGAAGATAATGATGCAGGGGAAAATGGAAGGAAAAAGGAAGAAGGGACGACCAAAGGCAAGATGTATGGACGGTATCCTTGAAGTGACTGGCTTGACCCTTAAGAAGCTGGGGGTGGTGATGGCTGACAGGGAGCTCTGGTGTGGGCTGTTCCATGATGTCACGAAGAGTCAGAAGCGACTGAACAAATAAACAACAAAGAGCATCACCCACCTTAGCAGACAGGACTTTGAATGGCCTTTAGAACTATAATTCACAATACTGGATATCCTGGTTTTAAACAGTTTTTATTTCCATTGCTTTTAAAGAATCAAAGTAGTTTTTAAACTCATTATTTATTAATCTTTATGCTATTGTGTCATTTTGTTGTATTAACTGATATGTGATTATTGTCCACGTTATATTATTTACTGTATTTGTGTGTTTGCTGTAAGCCGCTCCGAATCCCTTCAGGGAGAGGGAGCAGGATATAAATAAAGCCAATTATTATTGTGTTGTTGAAGGCTTTCATGGCTGGAATCACTGGATTGCTGCAAGTTTTCCAGGCTGTATGGCCATGTTCCAGAAGCATTATTTCCTGAAACATCAGGAAATAAAACATCTGAGACCTCACAACCTCTGAGGATGCCTGCCACAGATGCAGGCGGAACATTAGGAGATAATGCTTCTGGAACATGACCATACCGCCCAAAAAAACTTACAGCAACCTATTATTATTATTATTATTATTATTATTATTACTAGCAATCCCCTGCCACGCGCTGCTGTGGCCCAGTCTGGTGATCTGGAAAGTAATGAGTAGGTGTGATTTCTAATATATGTATTGTCTTTATGCTTGTGGGTAAACAGTATTTCTTGTTGTTTCTTTGTCAGTGTTGATGTAGAGATTGTCTGGTTTGCTTACTCTGGAACATGCAACATATAATTGCCCTTCTTTAGGAGTCCCTTTCAAATCTGTGATACTATATCTCTGTGTGAATCATATATATCTATATCTATGGCTGGATGGCTCTTTGTCAGGAGGGCCTTGATTATGTTTTCTTGCCCTGGTGAAGGGAGTTGGACTGGATTGCCTTAAGTATTTTCTATTGGTCATGGGGGATTTATTTATTTATTTATTTGCTTTATTTTTATACCGCATTTTTCAGCCTAATTCGGCGACTCAATGCAGTTTACAATGCAATTTATATAACAATAACAATTAGTTAAAACACAACATACACGACAGACAATACAAGACAAACAACGTGGTCATCAACGCCTCAGTAAAAATCAGATTCCGTTCTCATAATCCTTCTACCATTCCTTGTTCATTTATACCGTCTTCATGAGTTCAGTTGCCTTGTTGACCGAACGCCTGTTCATAGAGCCACGTCTTGACCTTCCTCCGGAACTCCAGCAACGAAGGGGCCTGCCTGATGTCTGCGGGTAGGGCATTCCCTCTGTGTGGGATCTGTGTGGGAAGTTTGCCCCAATTCTGTCATTGGTGGGGTTTAGAATGCTCTTTGATTTTAGGATAGTTATAAATCCCAGCAACTTAAATTCCCAAGTGTCAAGGTCTATTCCCCCCAAAGTCCACCTGTGTTCATATTTGGATATATGGAATATTTGTGCCAAGTTTGGTCCAGATCCATCATTGTTTGAGTCCACAGTGCTCTCTGGATGTAGATGAACTACAACTCTGAAACTCAAGGTCAATGCCCACCAAACCCTTCTAGTGTTTTCTATTGGGTGTGGGAGTCCTGTGTACCACATTTGGTTCAATTCTGTCATTGGTGGAGTTCGGAATGCTCATTGAGTGTAGGTGTACTATAAATCCCAGCAACTATGACTCCCAAATGCCAAATTCAATTATTTTTTTTAGTGATGGCCGTTTCTTGGGTTAGTAGGTGTCTTGTGGCCAAATTTGGCAGCAATTCGTCCAGTGGTTTTTGAGTTATGTTAATCCCACAAACGAACATTACATTTTTATTTATACACTAGCTGTTCTGCCACGCGTTGCTGTGGCCAGCCTTCCCTCTTTCTCTCCTTCTTTCACTCCCTCTTTCCTTCTCTTCTTCATTCCTTCTCTATCTCTTTCCTTCCTTCCCCCTTTTTCTTTCTCTTTTGCAGCCCTTTTCTTCCTTCTCTTTCCTTCTTTCCTTCCCTCCTTCTTTCTCTACATCTTCCCCCCTTCCTTCGCTCCCTCTTTCCTTCCTTCTTTCCCTTTTTCTTCTCCCCTTCCTTCCTTCTCTAACTTTCCTTCCCTCTTTTTCTTTCCCTCGCTCTTTCTCTCCTTTCTTCCTTCTCTTTGCTTCCATGCTTCCTTCCTTCCTTTCTCTCCCTCTTTCTTTTCTTTCTTTTTCTCCCCCTCCTTCCCTCTTTTTTCACTTTTTACTGTATTGTCATTTAGCTTTTGGGGCTTTTAAAGTCCCTTCTGCTGTGTTTTTCAGTGTTTTTATGAGTGAAGGACATCCATTGGCCTGATAGGTGTATTGTGTCCACATTTGGTGTCAATTCCCCCAGTGGTTTTTTAGTTCTGTTAATCCCACAAATGAATATTACCTTTTTATTTATATAGAAGATAGATTTATATAGAAGATAGATGGCAAAAGCTGGGTTGCAACTAAACATCAAAAAAACCAAGATTATGGCAACATGAATTATTGACAACTGGAAAATAGAGGGAGAAAATGTGGAGGCCGTGACAGACTTTGTATTTCTAGGTGCAAAGATTACTGCAGATGCAGACTGTGGCCAGGAAATCAGAAGACGCTTAATTCTTGGGAGGAGGTAAAGGTAAAGGTAGTCCCCTGACATTAAGTCCAGTCATGTCTGACTCTGGGGTGTGGTGCTCATCTCCATTCCTAAGCCGAAGAGCCAGCGTTGTCCATAGACACCTCCAAGGTCATGTGGCCGGCATGACTGCATGGAGCGCCGTTACCTTCCCGCCGGAGCGGTACCTATTGATCTACTCACATTTGCATGTTTTCGAACTGCTAGGTTGGCAGAAGCTAGGGCTGACAGCGGAAGCTCACGCCGCTCCCCGGAATCAAACCTGCGACCTTTCGATCAACAAGCTCAGCAGCTCCGTGCTTTAACCCACTGCGCCACGGGGGGCTCTTGGGAGGAGAGCAATGTCCAATCTCGATAAAATAGTAAAGAGTAGAGACATCAGACTGGCAACAAAGATTCGCCTAGTCAAAGCCATGGTATTCCCTGTAGTAACCTACGGATGTGAGAGCTGGACCTTAGGGAAGGCTGAGCGAAGGAAGATAGATGCTTTTGAGCTGTGGTGTTGGAGGAAAGTTCTGAGAGTGCCTTGGACTGCGAGAAGATCCAACCAGTCCATCCTCCAGGAAATAAAGCCCGGCTGCTCATTGGAGAGAAGGATACTAGAGACAAAGTTGAAGTACTTTGGCCACATCATGAGGAGACAGCAAAGCTAGAGAAGACAATTATGCTGGGGAAAGTGGAAGGAAAAAGGAAGAGGGGCCGACCAAGGGCAAGATGGATGGATGGCATCCTTGAAGTGACTGGACTGACCTTGAAGGAGCTGGGGGTGGTGACGGCCGACAGGGAGCTCTGGCGTGGGCTGGTCCAGGAGGTCACGAAGAGTCAGAGACGACTGAACGAATGAACAACAAGATTATCATCATCATCATTATAACACCCAGAGGGCCCGTGTTTGCCCACGCTTGTGCTGAAGAATGGGAAAACCAGAGTTGGATCATCATGGCTGTCAATTAGGAAGTGAGAGTAGACCAGGAGACTAATATGGAGCACCTCTGAAAGTCAGGCTGCCTCTCGTTCTGTTTCAGGGTGCAATTGGGACATGAACGCGGGCCCCCTGAGGGAGGGGAAGAAGGCGGGCCCTTTACCTGCTGCCTCTCGGCCTCCTTGCTCTTCTCGCCCTGCCTCCTCGCGTACCACAGGCCGATCTCACGGCCCTTCAGGTGAGGAGGGGGCCGGCCCCGGCCTCCGCCTCTCCCGCCCCCGCCAGAAGAGGACGACGAGGCGGAGGAGGAAGGCCCGCCTCCCCGGTTCCAGCCCCGCCGCTGCTCGTAGCTCATCCTGACAACGGCGGCGGAGGAAAACACAGAGGCAACCACCGGCGCCGGTGGAGAGGCGGCGCACCGGAAGCGACGCCGAGAGGCCTCTCCAAGCGGGTCACTTCCGCTCTGAAATACCGGGGAGGGGAGTGCGCATGCGCAAAAGAAAAAGAAATATCGGGGAGGGGAGTGCGCATGCGCGATAGAAAAACCCGAGAGTCTGCGCCCCCTGCCTCTCCCATTGGGTGTGTGTGTGAGCAAAATGATTACAAAGGGAATGCCGGAAAGGATGTGAGGGATACTCTCTCTGTATTGGAACCCATTCTCCTATTCAGAAAGTACACTCTCCTATTCAGAAAGGTTTCCTGACTTAGGCTGTTAGGAATTGTGGGAGCTGATGTCCAAAACACCTGGAGGGCCCAACTTTGCCTATATTTTACTTATTTATCGTGTCAGGAAAAGACCAAACAGTTGTATTTCATTTTAACAAACAAACAGACAAAACACAAGTTTGCAAGCTTGGTAGTTGATTAAATGTCCTTTGACCAGTATCTGGCCACTTGGAGTGCCTCTGGTGTTGCCGCAAGAAAGTCCTCCATTGTGCATGTGGCAGGGCTCAGGTTGCATTGCAGCAGGTGGTCAGTGGTTTGCTCTTCTCCACACTCGCATGTCGAGGATTCCACTTTGTACCATTTCTGAAGGTTGGCTCTGCATCTCGTAGTGCCAGAGCGCAGTCTGTTCAGCGCCTTCCAAGTCACCCAGTCTTCTGTGTGCCCAGGGGGGAGTCTCTCATTTGGTATCAGCCATTGATTGAGGTTCTGGGTTTGAGCCTGCCACTTTTGGACTCTCGCTTGCTGAGGTGTTCCAGCGAGTGTCTCTGTAGATCTTAGAAAACTATTTCTTGATTTAAGTCGTTGACGTGCTGGCTGATACCCAAACAGGGGATGAGCTGGAGATGTCTCTGCCTTGGTCCTTTCACTATTGGCTGCTACTTCCCGGATGTCAGGTGGTGCAATACCGGCTAGACAGTGTAGTTTCTCCACAGACACTCCATATCTCATGAATAGCCACATCCACTGTTTTAGCGTGGTGAGATGTGTTCCACACTGGGCATGCATACTCAGCAGCAGAGTAGCATAGCGCAAGGGCAGATGTCTTCACTGTGTCTGGTTGTGATCCCCAGGTTGTGCCAGTCAGCTTTCGTATGATATTATTTCCAGTACCCACTTTTTGCTTGATATTCAGGCAGTGCTTCTTGTAGGTCAGGGCACGGTCCAGAGTGATCAGCCTGTTCCTGATAGTGGGTGACAGAATAATAGGATGGCAGTGGGCCATCAATGCAGGGCCATGGCTAGAGTATCCTCAGTGGGCATCTCTCTGTCTTCTGTTTATTTCAATTGCTTCAAAATGAGTAGTTTCCTTTCAATTAGTAGGGGGAGAGGAGAGGCAGGAGCAGAATTTTGTTATTTATTTACGATATTTATTATATCCCACCCTTCTCATCCCAAAGGGGACTCAGGTCAGCTTACATAATTGGAATTTCATACCCAAACAACAATAACAATTAAAAAGTTAAACAACAATTTAAAAAACATTAAAACAACACATACAAACATTAGACAACTGTGTATTGTCGAAGGCTTTCATGGCTGGAATCACTGGGTTGTTGTAGGTTTTTTTGGGCTATATGGCCATGTTCTAGAGGCATTCTCTCCTGACGTTTCGCTTGCATCTATGGCAAGCATCCTCAGAGGTAGTGAGGTCTCTTGGAACTAGGTTAGTAGGTTAGTATTTATATCACTTTATCATTATCGTGCTGTCTCTCTTTCTATATATATTTCAAATACATTTTCCATCTACAACTCTTAGGTTCCAAAACTCTTGATTTAACCGTAACCATTTAGTATAATAATATTTTTATACTCCATTTTAAGAACTTTCCCTGATAAGTCCTGAAGGCCAGATCTCTCAAACTTCTCTTTCTCGAGGTTTTGTTCCCACTAGCCCATTGAACATTTGCCTCCAGTTTCTTGTGGATACCTATTCTTGATCTATATATTCTTCTACAGTGAGGACATCGATTTCCAGATGGAAGGCAGTCCCAATCAGGGTTGGCTTAATGCACCTCCCTTTTGACATGTTTCTCCTTTTTGGCCTCCATTCAGCGCCTCTTTGTTGGTAACAGCTGACCTCCAGTTAGAACACTCAAGGGCCAGGCCTTCCCAGTTCTTGATGTCTATGCCACAGTTTCTAAAGTTAGCTTTAAGCCCATCTTTAACTCTCTTTTCCTGTCCACCAAAATTCTGTTTCCTATTTTTGAATTGGGAATATAGTAACTGCTTTGGGAGACGGTGATCAGGCATTTGGACAATGTGGCCAATCCAGCGAAGGTGATGGCGAAGGATCAGCACTTCAAAACTGGTTGTCTTTGCTTCTTCCAGAATGCTGACACTTGTCCGCCTGTCTTCCCATGATATTTGCAGGATTTTTCCTAGGCAGCGCTGATGGAATCATTCCAGATGTTGAGTATGACATCTGTAGATGGTCCACGTTTCACAGGCGTACAACTGGGTTGGAAAGACAATAGCTTTATAAGCAAACATCTTGGTC